TTGCCCTATCACTACATATTGTTGCCAAAAGTCCCTGTCAAGCACCTTTTAGGTCTTTTTAGAACAGCATTCTCTCCAAGCTGAGCTACCCTAGCTCCCTCAGCCTGTGTTCATAGGAGAGGTGTTCCACCCATTTATTATTTCTCCACTGGACTCTCTCCAGCAGGTCCACATAGTTTTTGTGTTGGGGGCTCCAGAACTGGACAATAATCCTGGTGGGGTCTTACAAGAGGGAAGTAGAGGGATGGACTCACCTCCCTCACCCTGCTGGCTGAGCTGCTTTTGATGCAGCCCAGGACAAGGYTGGATTTCTAGACCATGCATCAAATCCATATCTCTCTAATTTAGGGACAAGGATGCCATGTGTGACAGTGTCAAATGCTTTGCYGAAGTCCAGGCAGATAACATCTGTTGCCCTTCYCTTGTCCACACGGCTGTAACCCAATTGTAGGAGGCACTCAGATTTGTCAGTCAGAGATTGTCTTTAGTGAAACCCTGTTGTTTGTCACTAATCACCTCTTTATTTTCCATTGCCTTTGCACAGCAAAGAAGAATCGACTGGAGATTCAAAGAAGAATCATGGAGAATCGACTCCATGATCTTGCTGGACTCAGAGGTGAGACTGACTGGCCCATAGTTCACCAGTCCTTCCTTTTCCCCYGTTTTTAAAAATGGGGGTAATGTTTTTCTGTCAGTGGGAATTTCATCAGACCACTCTAACTGGACGAATAGTAGGCCTTTCATCTTCCAGCTCCCTGAAGTGCATGTCATGTCCCACAGATTTGTGCACCTTCAGTTTCATTAGATGGTCTCAAACCAGATCCTCTGCTACAGTGACTGGTTCTTCATTCTCCCCGGTCCCTCCTTTTGTCTTCTGCAATTTGGCTGGAGCAATTGCTGGTAAAGACTGAGGCAAAAAACTCATTGAGTACCTCAGCCTTCTCCATGTCCTGGGTAACCAGGTCTTCTGATTCCATCTGAAAAGGATCCATRCTTTCCTTAATCTTCCTTTCAGCATTGATGTACCTGTAGAAGCTTTTCTTATTGCTCTTCACATCCCTTTAGATGTGGTTCAGATTTAATCCTATCAAGGGCTTAGTTTTCATACAGTGATACAATCTGTCTTCTTGGGCAGTCTCTCTGTATTCCTCACAGTCTGTCTGTCCTTGTTTTCATGCTCTTTAGGCTTTTTTTGTGTGTGTGTGTGTGTGTGTGTGTGTGTGTGTGTGTGTGTGTGTGTATGTGCTTGAGTTTGTCCAGGTGCTCCTTGATCATCCACACAGGCTTCCTGGCAATTTTGTCTGACATGATCTTTTTCGGGATCACTCCTGAGCCTGGAGGAGTGAATCTTGAATATTAACAAGCTTTCTCACTTCCCTTCAGGATTTCCCATGGTACTCTACCAAACAGATCCTTCAAGAGGGCAAAATCTGTTCTCCTGAAGTCAAGAGTGGTGAGCTTGCTCTGCCCCCTCCTTGTAGCCTGATCTTCGTAACTTCATGGTCACTGCAGCCAAGGCTGCCCTGGATCTTCTCTTTCCACACCAGCCCCTCCTTATGRTGAGAACAAGGTCCAGGATAGCACCTTTCCCTGTTGGCTTCTSTGTCACTTGGAGAAGGAAGTTGCCATCAATGCATTCCAGAARCCTCCAGGTTGCTTATACCCTGCTGTGCTGTCCCTTGAACAGCTGTTGGGATGTTTCCAGCCCCCATGGGGACCTGGCTTGTGAATGTGAGGCTGCTCCTCTCTGTCTGTAGAGGGACCCATGTTCTTGGTGTTCCTGGTCAGGCCCCTGCWATAATGTTACMTGCTCCTGTCCTCCCTTTATCCCAGACCCACTGTTGTTGTTTCACTTGATGCAGCAACAGTGACAYAGCCCTGGAGCAGCCTGAGGGGTAACAAGAGAGATTGCAGAGGCCTGGATGTGAGACTAAGGGACTCTGAAGGGCAGGTAGCTTTTTCATCAATCCTCCTGGTCAAAGGCAAGGTGTTTGAAAGGGTCTGTGTGACAGTGTGTAGTCATCAGTGAACTGTATAAGGCTCAGTTCTGTGTCAGTGAGATCACTGCTATGACTCCCYAAAAAGCAGCACCTCCACAGAGAGCGTGTCAGGTCATCAAATGGGTAGGTCTGAACCTAGAATAGTCACCTACTGCTATTACCTGTTGCCTTATCTTGTTATGTTGGTTGTTGCACAGGGAGCAGATGGGGCTGCCTTACTCAGTCTCTCCTGATCTGGCAGATCTTTCTTCTTCATTCAGCAGAGTGTTGATGTGATTCTGCAAGCTCATCTCAGGCTTTGGGAACTTCTCTTCTTTCTGCAGGTCCTTKCTGTTGGAAGCTTCCATTCTTCTGTGTTATCACTGCCTTTCCCTCTGTGTGTGTTTTATCTTCTTTCTCTGTCTCTCTTTGCTGCTGCCCTGTTGCAGTGTGTTTGAAAATTGTGAAGAGTAATCTGAGAGTGGAAGATATTTTGATGCATCAGATGAATAAGCCTGTAATCTGGTTGCTTTCCCCTTTCATATTCTTACCTGGCCATACTAAAGATAGATTGTGTTCTGCTACTGAACTCTTTAACAGGGAGAACAGATGATATTGTGAAGTCATTAAGAAAAATGCACTAACSCACATTTGGTTTTATCAATTGTAATTAATTTTTTTTTCCTTAGTCAGAAAGTGGTTCTTYCAACAGCTGGTTTGCTTTATGCATTTGGTATTGTTTGTGTATTGCCAGACACTGAACCTGTTGGTCTTTGTAGCTCACAGGGTCTGTGGAAAAACCTACTAAATACATAAAAGCCGTTAATTATATTAATTATTTATGACTTCCTTTTTTCTTTCACAGTGAACTTTGTCTTAAATGAGCTGTGGCATCGAAGGCACTTTATCAGCAGATTGTCAGAATCTTGTGCTGCAAGCACCTCATGTTAGTTCTGCAAGCTGTACACATCTCTGCTTTCAGTTTCAGTCATGGATTTGTGAAAGAGGATGTCAACTTCACAGCACCCATTACTGCTGCAAAGCATAGTCTTGCTGGTAGTTTGAACTGATCAGATTTTGGGTCATCATCACAGCATGCCAAATCCAGACTCTTTGGTTTAGTGGCACAGCAAGGATATCCAGCTTTGAAATAATAGCTCCCTTGGCCAAAGTCCAGACTAAGCTGCATTTCATACACTGCCCTCCAAAAAAACAGGCTTTGTTAGGACAAAAGTGATTGTATGAGGCATCAGATTGGCAGGTCAGAGAGCATCGACATTAACACACCCTGATCTTGTCTGCTGACACTGCTGTTTAATTTAGATCTTGTTTATTTTATGTCATGTCAGAGTATAAAAACCTTCTACTGATGTGACTACAYGTACACGCAAACACTCTGCAGAATATGGTCCCAAATATAAGGAGTTTGCAATTCAGAAAAAAGTCTTGGAAAGTCAATATCTTAAGTAAATGTGAAGATTATTGCAGAAGTTTTAACAAAACCACTCTGACTTGTAAGAGATCTGTAAGATAATGGTAAAGTTACATATGAACACACGAGCTACATACGTATTTATAACCTAAGCTCTAAAGGCAGAAAGAAAGGCTTAGCAAACACAAAATAAACAAGTAAATATGTTTTTTTTTCTGTACATCTGTACATACGTTTTATGAAATAAGTATTTGAAACTTACAATTTACATTCCATTTTGAAGAATTTAAATGTTTTCCCATCCTGAGATACCTGAATGGAAAATTCTGATGGAATTCACTGACAACATGATAACACTGATAATACGGTAGATTTAAGAGTTTTTCCTTAAATGTATTTCCAAAGAGACTCTTTGAAATGTAGAGTCATTCACTGGTCTTCAGCTCTGCACAGCTGTTTTAGAAGAGAGTAATTGGTGGAAAACAGGCTTCCAGTTCTGTGGCAGTTGTGTCTCARTTGTGTGAGACAGCTTGCCTGCTAATTGCAATGTCAATTAAAGACACAAATGTTAACAACTACAACAAAAGGTGTTCTCTTGTGGTATTTTGAAATGTGATAAATTGCTTGGCTCCAGAAAATTTTCTATTCTATTTATGTAATATGGAAAAATAAGAAAACTCCCTTTTTTTTGCAGGGTTCTAGGTTGTACATTGTGAAGGGGGCTGATCATTGATACAAAGATAACACCTGAATGAGGTCGTACTAGGCAACCTCAGCTTTGAAAGGTTTTACTGAACCCCAACTTCTTCAAATACCTAAAAAAATACTATGTTTCCAGGGGCTCTGGTGGCCATGAATGCTATTCACTTATGTTAAAGGTGTTGTAACAAATGTAAAAAACTTTTCCTTTGCTTTTCTTCTCATTCTCAAGAATCTGGCGGGGGGGGGGGGGGGGGGGGGGGGGGGGGGGGGGGGGGTGGAGGGGGGAAAGCCCCAAACTACAAAACTCCACAATGCTGATATAACATCAAGGGGTCTGGTTGGAATACGGAGTTTGGGAGTGAAAATTAAAGGTGCAGTTGGCAACTTCCATAGCTGACACAKCATCTTTTCAGTAAAGCATATGTTTGGTATTGTGAATGACTAACCTAGTCAATGTGCTCTAGATGATTATCAAATATCTTTACACTTATTAGACTCTTACATTTCTCTCTTGTCATTCTGGCTACTATATAGCCCCAGGTAAATGATTAGAGAAATAAAATAAATATCTCCCCTCCTGTGTTTCAAGTAAGTGAAAAGAAAGCACCAATCAACCATCAAACAGTGGAAATATCGCACTTTGGGCAAGGTCGAGTGCCTGAGTCTGTCTCCAGTTTTGTAATGACTGCCACTTTCCTCCTGAAAATCTGTCTCCTTGGCAAATCCGCTGCCCTCAAAAAACGCCTGCAAATGTTTGTGCGAATGGAAATAGATTACAAGAAGGTGGCAGTGTGATTTCTAGATATGAATGAAGCTGCTGATTTATTTTTGTAACAACAAATGTATGTGTTTTAAATCTCTCCCTTTGGCATCACTTTTTTGTTTAGGTGAATCTAGGACAAAGAGACGGACCAAACACAGAAAATGACTTTAAAATGAAGTCACTTGAGAATATGATTCTACTGTGGTGAATAGGACACAGCTCTAGATCAGCCATCCTCTGTCTTGGATTTTATTGATGCTTTGGTAAGAAAAGTTCCTGAATACATTATTGCTTTATGAAAAATAGTTAGGCAAACACTGTCTCTGCTCTGCAGCTATTGGAGGCACAGAATTACAAACTTGGCTTTTGTCAGGGTTTTTTTTAGATCTCATAGCCTAAGGGGTAAAGACCCACTCACATTAGCATTACTGTGCAGTGTACAGTGAGACCGGTACTCAGGTGTTATCTTTAACACTGTGCAGCTTCTACATAAATTTTGGGTTTCTGTTTTAGACCACACAAATCACACTTAGAGATGGTACAGTTCCCACAGATACCTTTCCAAGGAGTTCCTTTGTGCAGAGCTGGAGAGGAGGCAAGATGTTGGCATAGCTGTTGACCTAAAAACCTGCTATGCCAACATATTGTCATCTTTCCTGTCTGTTTGCGGCAGAGGGAAGTTGTACATTGTGGTGGGCATTTGGAGCAGCTTTAGTCTTTATAGATAACTTGAAATACCATTTCTCTGGCCCAGCTTCTGAGTCAATGAGGCAAGTGTTTATTAGTTACCTAAAAACCAAAGGAGGGACAGAATTTGATTTGGGTTCTTTCATTACTCAAAAGACAGATAGCTTAAMGTGCTCTGAGAAAGTGTGGAGATTCAGAAAGAAAGGAGCTTGAGGAGGTCATCAGGGGACAGGACAAGAATTGAGTGTTTCACTGTCTGACCTCTACACATTTGCAGAGAGATTGTGAGTTGTCTGCCTATGAGTATTTCTGTTTACATAATTTTTTGTCTTCTGATTGTATTCTCCATCCCTGTGTATTTTTCATGTTTGTACTTTCTGTTAAGAGCCTTYTAGTAAAGGGTGTTGAACAATGAGAATACAGTGGCAGTCATATAATGAATGAGCACCCACTAATGAAATGTTGTAGGTGCATTTCACTGATCTGTTTCTAATACTTAATTAAGAAAAATAAAACAGTAGAACTTGATCTAGAAGGAGGCCTCATAATTACTGTGCAGGGAACCTTGTAAAAAATATAAATTCCATGCAGTAATTTCATCATTCATGTACTTATTCTACATAAGRTGTTACTTCAAACGATTTGAATTTTGCTTTGAGAATTATTTGGTTGTTTTCTTTTTCTGCAGCTKGATGTCTGAGGTTGCTGTGATGAAAGTAGGCTGAAGAAATTTCTTTTTCAACATCTTCATTACATAATGCTATGTTTTGGTATTGCACATGTGGAGAGTAAACAGTACTGAGCCTTATGCCCAACAAACTACATAGAATAAGCGTATTCTGTGATGAGACAAGAGCTATGGCAAAATCTTACTATTTTTAAGCACTACAATTGTGCTTTAGGAGCMATAAGTTACAGTAGATACTGTAAACTGTCTACTACATTATAAGAAACATATTCAATAGGTGTACTTCGAGTAAGGTATAACTGATAAACTTGTTTTGGGTATATTAATTCAACATTTTTGTTCAAGATGATCTGATGTGTTCAGAAGAATGATAAATGGTGCATAAAGAGCTGAACAAGAGCAAGGAAAATTATCCACATCTTTCTTGCCAAATACAAGACTGGGCAGAATTATAAGGAAGGGGAAGACAAGGGCCTGGGGTAAGATTCTGGCCTTGCTGGTGTCAGCACAACTATTGTTCCATCTTTTTTTAGGATGAGAATACAGCTGTGGAATCGAGTTCACTGTTAGCAAGATCTGGTTCAAAACATCTTCTATGAACTTCAGTCCTTACCAATGCTCAGGGGTTGTGCATCACTTACCATCCCAACACTAGTGTGCACATATTCTGCTCCTGCTTTGTGACACAGCAGTAGAGGGCACTTGGAGGCCTCCTTGTGTTGACAAAAAAAAAAAAAAAAAAAAAAAAAAAAAAAAAAAGGTTTTTGTCTGGGAGGGAGCTGGGGAGTGAAATAAGTAAATACTCCCAGGCAGCCCAGTGCGTGACTTTCATTAGTCATCAGAATTCAACAGCAGTTGGCCAGCTTGGCTCCTGCGACCATGGAAATATACTGTGAATATAACATATGTCCAAAACAGGAAAATACCATGAATTGGGGAAGGGGAAGGTGGGAAAGGGAAAGGTAACTGAAAACTTGCAACACAAAGTATGTTCAGAAAAAGAGGAAGCAAAGAAATTTGTATTTYCAGTGGTTCCATTATCCTCTAGTCTGGATCTGGCACTTAGAATCTCTATCTGATTTCGTGTGATTACATGTTCTGTATAGCACTGACTTTACTCTGTCCTGCTACTTGATAATTGCTGACACAATTGAGACATGCARTGAGGCAAGAAAAAGCACAGAACAAAGGTTTCTCTTGTTTCATACTTTTGTGATCGTGGCACATGTGCAAACAAACTACCTGTTTCAGTCTGTTGACTTATCTGGAGAGTAGCTGTCAGAACTCTTCTGGAAGGCAAAAGCTTATCCTCATCCAGATCAACTCCAAAACTTCTTTTCTGGAGGGAGATTATAGCTGCTCACTCACAGCACACACAGTCCTAGCATATAAGCCGAAACAAGAACTCAGATGAAGAACTGTATTGAAAGCTGTTTGTCAACAGCATTGTTTACTTCTTACCKTGTAAATTTTTTTTCAGTAAATGACAAAGGCTTTGCTGATCTGCCATTTTGAGTGAAATCAGAAGTATAGAACACAAAGAGGTGAAGTTACCTCTCAATTCAAAAAGATTAATTTAAATCTAGGTTGACTGCTGGTAACTGTTACTTAAAATATTATCTTTCATAATCACATAATTTTTAGATTATTTTCTAAGAGCATACTCACACTAGTACTTGATGAATACTCCATACTGGGGGGTTTTGATAGCTCCATTGACAAATRTCCCCAAATTAAGTATTTTGGATGTATTTAGAAGTACTTTTATTAATGGCTTCTGCCAGCTCTGTGGAACATTTCTTCAATAATGCAGGAGTAAATTGCATTATTTTTATCAGCTGTTTTTGTCCTATTGAATGATTATTAAGATGAGTTACCTGTTTAAGTTGTGGAAGCTCACTTTTTGCATTCACTGCTATATTTGTGTTCTTTCAGAGCTGAGAAGTTTTTCAGTGCTGAAGTGCATGCCTTACTGGAGAATAACGAAAAGGAAAGGGGATGTAATTAAAAAGGGAAAGGAATATAATTGAATGGGAAATGGAATGAAACTGTCCACTTATTGCCATTCCAAGGAGAAAAAGTTAGGCTTACTTGAAAAAGATGAGACAAAGTTAATAATGATGCTAAAAAAATGAGTTCTGCTTGCTCAAGAACAAGAAGGGACTGGATAAAAGTTGGCATATACAAAAGGAAAACTATTGCAAAGCTCTTTCCTCCTTTTCCATCACCTGATGAAACTTGTTTATATCTTCTGCTGACCTGTATGTATGCATGCATACAGAAAGATTTATTGGTTGATTCATAGGTAGGTAAGTGTGTGTGTGCACAGTAGCAATTCTGAAATACATTGTTAGGGATCTACTTAAGGTATTTTTAAATTAATATAGCACCAAGTAATTTTTTAGTTATCTTTCCTACCTCAACATCAGTCTTTCCTGAACAATAAACACAAAGAATGTGCACAAGCATGAGTAAGTGTCCTTCTTACACAGAAAGGAAAAAACAGAAAAACCTGAAACCAACCAAAAGGACCTTTTCTCAAAGTCCATGTTTCTTATGCCCCTGTGTTACAGTCAAGAAGCTGGTTATTAAATTCCTAGCACTCATAAGATATTATCAAACAAAGCATAAGAAATTTCTTGTATCTATCTTCAAATGCCTGATGTTCTTCTCCAAGTGTATATATGAATTAATTTTAATTCAGCTGGTACCTCTTCATGAGACGTACCAGATTTACTGAAGTAGCCATTAGCTGGATGGTCAATCTGGGCTTCTGGCTACGCTTTTATGTAGATATCCCATTTCCAGGCACAATATGCATAATACAGCAAATTGATGTGATCATTCCTCTGCCAACTGCTAAAATATTTTCCAGGATTATCCCAACAAAAACTGTGCACACTCTTCTGTTTCCATCTTCTGCAGAATTTGTAGAATATGGTGTAACAACTAACCTGTGCAGGTATTTTACGATGCTTGGATGAGCATAATCTCCCAGTGGAGTAATAAACTGRCCAAAAGTGACTGGAAAAGCCCATCCAGAATCTAGGTGGCAGGAAAGGTCTCGAGTGCGGTGTGCGTTCTGAACCTAGGGGTGACCTTGTGAAACACTCACGGGGGGAAGCTACACAGTTTCTTTATCCAAGTGCCCACACCCGCAGAAATGATGCT